TGTGTAAGTCTGTGTATGAGTACGTATGGGTGTGAGTAAGTCTGTGTATGACTAAGTCTGTGTATGAGTATGTCTGAGTGTGAGTAAGTCTGAGTATGAGTAGGTCTGAGTATGAGTAAGTCTGAGTATGAGTAAGTCTGAGTATGAGTAGGTCTGAGTATGAGGAAAGAGGAGGAGGGGAGGAGGAAAGAGGAGGAGGGAGAGTGAGTAGGAGGCGTCCAAGTAATAACAAGAACCCCATCTTAGGATATGGGGAGAAAACCAAAACCAAAACCGAGAGGGTTCAGCACGCCAAGCACCCCTCTTGCAAGCAACAGGGGGCGGCGGATCGAAGACGCCTACGGCGAATCACCGCCGCCTCCTGCCTTTTTGGAAGCGCCTATGTGGCCGAACGTTGAGGCCAGACCTGCCAAGCTATCGGACCATATGTTCCCCGAATCGGTTTGGAAAGCCTTCGGGGAACACGTGGGCATCTTGAAGGTCATCTTGGCCGCCTGGAGGCCAATTTGACCCTTTCGGGCCTTCTTGGAGGACGTCTTGGAGGGCTCTTGGGCCGTCTTGGAGGCCATCTTGAGTGTCTTGGAGGCCTCTTGGGCAGTCTTGGGGGCCTCTTGGGGCCGTCTTGGGCCTCTTGGGCGATATTGGGGGGCATTTGGGCCGTCTCGGGCCGTCGGAAGGCCGAAAAAAGCAAATGCCACAATCCTTCAAACACTCATGGGATATCAATGATGTTGGCCTTTTCGGGCCTTCCTGGAGGCCCTCTTGGAGGCCTCTTGGGCCGTCTTAGGCCATCTTCGTGCCATCTTCTGCCGTCTTGGTGGGCTCCTGGCCCGTCCGACGCCGTCGGAAGCCGTTTGGGGGGCCTCTCTGCTCCAGGACGTCTTGGAGGCCATCTTGGGCGTCTTAAATTTCTCCTGGGCCTCTTGGGGCCGTCTTGGGGGCCTCTTGGGCCGTTCAGGGGCCAGCTTGGAGGCCTCTTGGGCGTCCTTTAGGCTATCTTTGGGGGCTCTTGGGCCGTATCGGGCCGTCGGAAGGCCGAAACGAAGCAAATGTCAAAATCTTTCAAAAACCAAGGGAAAATCAATGCTTTTGGCCTTTTCGGGCCTTCCTGGAGGCCCTCTTGGAGGCCTCTTGGGCCGTCTTGGGCCAGCTTCGAGCCAACTTCGGCAACCGTTTGGGGGGCCTTTCTGGGCCGATTTGGGGCCCTCTTGAGGTGCTCCAGGGCCGTCTTAGAGGCTATCTTGGACGTCTTGGAGGGTTCTTGGGTCGTCTGTGTGCCCTCTTGGGGCCGTCTTGGGGGCCTCTTGGGCAGTCCTGAGGCCATCTTGGAGGCCTCTTGGGCGCTGTGGGGGCGATCTTGGGGGCCTCTTGGGCCGTCTTGGGTCGTCGGAAAGCCGACAAGACGCGAATGCCGAAATCCTTCAAAAACCTATGGAAATCAATGATTTTGGCCTCTTCGGGCCCTCCTGGAGAACCTCTTGGAGGCCTCTTGGGCCGTCTTGGAGGCCTCTGGGGGGCCTCTTGGGCCGTCTTGGATTCTCTTGGGCCGTCTTGGAGGCCGTCTTGGACCATCTTGGGTGAACCTGGAGGCCATTTTGGATGCCATCTTGGGCCAACGTGGCCATGTTGAGCCGTCTTGGAGGCATTTTTCCGCAATTGAGGTCCTTTCCGGGTGGCCGGCGGCACGAGCCGAAGCCCCAGGGGGAGTTCTTTTGGAGAAGAACCAAAACCAAAACCGAGAGGGTTTAGCACGCCAGGCACCCTTGCGATGAATCGACAGGGGGCGGCGGATCCGAATGGCCTTCGGCCCATCCCACCACCGTGTTGACTTGTGGGTCTGAGGCCTCTTGTATATGTGTTGGGGTGTCGTGGGGGCCTTTTCGGGTGCTTTTTGGAGGCAGCTTCGGCGCCTCTTGGGGGTTTCTCTGGGCCTCGTGGGATATGCTCTTTGGCGTGTATTGGGCGCCTCTTGGGGCCTCCTGGGGGCTTCTCGGGGCGTTTTTTGTATCATATTGGAGCCCTCTCGGATCGTCTTGGGGCCCTCTTGGGTACGTTTTGGGCTGTCTTGGGGCGGTCTGGGGAGCTTCTTGAGCCATCTCGGGGCGTCGGAAAGCCGGGAATGCGAGAACACCAAACTCCGTCAAAAAAATTGACGATGTTGGCTTCTTGGGGCCTTCTTGGGCCGTCTTGAAACCAACTTCGGGCGCGTTGGAGCAGTCTTGGCCTCGGCAATACGAACATGGCGTCATTTGCAAGGTTTCTGGCTTCGGGGATGCGAATATTGTACCATTCACGAGGGATTCTGGTTTCGGGGACGCGATTATCCAGCAAGTTGTGAGGGTTTGTGGCTTCGGGGACGTGATTCTTGCATAAGTTACGAGGGACTGGTTTCGGGGACGCGAGCATTGCGTAATTTACAAGAGTATGTTGCCCTTGGGAAGCTACACTGAAATAATTGACGTGGGTCTGCTGTTTCGGAGGCGCCAGAATTGTATAATTTGCCATGGTTGACGGCCTCGGGGGCGCGATTGCGGCGTAATGTACTAGGGTTGGTGGCCTCGGGGACGTGAATATTGCATAATTTACAAATGATTCTGGCTTCGGGGACGCGAATGTTGTAATTTACGAGGGCGTGCTGCCCCAGGGACGCAAAAATTACATAGTTGCGTGGGCGGCTGGCCTCGAGGACGCGAGCATTCTACAATGTACCAGGGATCGTGGCCCCGGGGGCGCGAACGTGGCGTGATTTACGAGGGATCGTGGCTTCGGGGCATGCGTAGGAGTTCCCATTGAGGCCACGAAACGTGGGAGGGGTATACCGACATCGACGCACGCGAGCTTTGCAACTGGGGCTTTCGGAGGAGTTCCCTATGGGGCCCCGAAACTTGTGAGGGGTGTACCGAAATTATGGGGGGGGCCGCCCATTACGGCGCACCCCTCAAACGGTTCGTGGCCTCAAGGAGCTCTTCCGAAGGCCCGAATGGCGACGTTCGCGTGCGTCTCCCCCGTCCATTACGGCTCACACGCTTCGTGGCCCCATAAAGAGCTCCACTTACAGCCCCAGTGGCGACGTTCCGCTGCTCCCTCACCCGTTACAGCGCCATCTCACACGCTTCGTGGCCCCATTGGGAATCCCGCCTACGGCCCTTGTGGAACCGCTCGCAGTGTCCCATGCGTCTCCCCCACCAATCACGGCGCACCTCTCACACAGTTCGAGGCCCCATAAGGAGCTCCACCGAAGGTCCCAGTGGCGACGTTCGCATGCGCTCCCCTAGCCCATTCCAGACACCCCTCATGTCGGCACACCCCTCGCCCCCACCCGCACGTCTCGTGCCCCATCCTTCCCGCGGCGCGCTACCTACGGTGAGGTGGTCATACCCTGCGTGATTCGCAACTGGATATGGTTGGGTCGTTCGCCAGGCTAAGTTTCTGAGTTCTCTGCTTTCCGAACCCGTTTCCGGGCTCCGGGGCAGTCAAACATTGTTCCGAGGATGGGGGATTTCGGAGGTTTACGAACGTTTTTTGTCCCAGGCGTCTGGGGATCACCGCCGCAGACCGTTTTGGGAATTGGAGATGTCTGATTATTTGTGACAGAACAATCGACGCTGCTGCACGTGTTCGGCTTCCGGGGTCGACCTCGTGGCCACGGCTGTGTAGAGTTTCATCGAAGTTCTAGGTCGAACGCACCCTGGGGGAGGTCTTTGGGCACATCTTTGAGAGTGGGTGTAGAGGAGGAGGGGAGGGAGGAAGGTAGTGAGAAAGAGGTGAGAAGGAGAACGAGCAATACATACATAGAGAGAGAGGGAGAGAGGTGAGTGTGTGTGTGCATGCATGTGCATATATATATATATACGCATAGCAGCAGAGACAGAGAGGGATAGAAAAGAGGGAGGATCCCGATTCTGGTCGGCGGACCATGCACTGCCTCCCCGGCGGCCAACCGTCGAAACACACGCACAGAGCTAGGACGATACGGGTCATCTCCCAATATGTATACATACACATCCAACGGGACTTTCAAGATGCGCATGTTTGTTTAAGTGCTCCCTCCTCAGTAGGACATCCGGCGTTTGAATTTGTTCGAGATATGAGCCCGCGGAATTCTCGAGCTTGTTGGTATGGTTTGTCTTTAATCCCAGATGCTTATTTGATTATGGGTCGAGCCCGAAGCCAGCACTTGGAGACCGAGTATTGCGAAACATGGCCGTCTTCATAGTCTTAAAGCCTTGGAGATTTAGGTTTGTTTCCCCCCCTCCCTCCCTCTCCCGAGTGACCGAAGTCGACGCGAATCACATAGACCACCCTCCGTAAGGAGGGTCGAGTGGGGTAAGGAATTTGCATGTCTATGCGTGTTCCGATTGCAGTTGCATTCGCAAGTCGATGTTGCTATAGATTCCAATTGGAGGTACGTGTCGATGCCAAAGTCAGTCTGAGTATCGGTTGTGTTTGGACGTGTTTCGATGCGCGTGTCCATTTGCATCTCGATGTGCATTCCGCTGTCAATTCGATATCATGTTGGTTTTTCTGTTGCATGTTCAGTTGCATCACGGGACAAACCACGAAACAACCCTGTGGACGCCCACGGGACAACCCTCAAGCACGGGACCACCCCGGGACATCCTTGCGCCCCACCGCGAAGCAGGAGCAGGACCTTTTTCGTTAGGCTTTCCTCTAGCAGCCCCCGACACATCACCCTCGCGCAGCCTCGCCTCGCCCGCCGACGCAGGCCGAAGACAAGACCGACTTCCAGGTTGGGGTCACCTCGTCCCCCGCCCCCCCCCAGCTCGGACGCCCTCCCCGCCCCCTCTGGCGGTGCCTGCCCCGCGCGGCACGCGCGCCGCGGATGGGGCGGGGTGGAGAGAGTGGCCAGCGCCGACCCAATGAATCCGTGCGGACAGCCTCCTCCTCCTCCTCCTCCTCCTCCTCCTCCCCCTCCTCCTCCTCCTCCTTCTCCTCCCCCTCCTCAGAGGTTCATCTTGTTTTTTCTTTTGCACCTGCAGGCAACCGCCGACGATGTGCGGCGGTTCTTCCGCGGCTTCCAGCCCGCGCCCTAGCGGCGCCGGCTCAGGACGGGGCAAGGGTCCTCGGGGAAGGCGGGCGGCCAGCTTTTGGCTTGGCATGAGCCCAGGGGCCGACCTAGAGACGCAGGCCTCCAACGTTCTCGCCTTTCTCCGCGTCTGGGGGGCCACTCCTGTGCCCTCCCCTCCCGCATACCCGCCTCCTTTTTCCCTAGCCCCCCTCCCCTCTCTCTCTCCCCATTTACCCCTCCCCCACCCTCTCTCTCCCTCCCCCTCACACACGCACGCACACACACACACACACACACACACACACACACACACACACGCACGCACACGCACACGCACACGCGCACACGCACACACACACACACACGCACACACGCACACACACACACACATACTGTTGGGGCGCCCCCGGCCGGGCGCATCGCCACGCCGTCCGAAGAAGTCGCCCGCGCGCTCGCGCTGGAAGCAGGGCAAGGAAGGGCCAGCGCCTCACGTGGTAGTGGCGGGGGTTGCCGAGCAGCAGGGGCGGGGGCCAGCGGCGCCGGCGGGGCAGCGGGGGGCGGGGCGAGGCAGCAGACGGCAGCCGCGAGGCGCGGGGACGGGGCGAAGGCGGGGCAGCAGGCAGCCGCAGAGGCGGCCACGGACAAGGAGCGCGCCAGAGTTCGGCGAGCGAGAGAAGTCAGCCACGCGCAGAGGGGGGCATGGGGGAGGGGGGGAGACTTTTTAGAAGCACCCCCGCTTCTTAGAAGGCGCGGGCCTCATCTATAGATGTGAGGCCGGCGCCTTCTGAGAAGCAGCGTCCTTCTAATAGTCTAAGGAGCCTCCCCCCCTCCCCCTGACCCCCCTGCGCGCGCCGCCGAGGAAGGGCGGGCGATGCGGACAAGCGGCGAGGGGGCGGCGAGGACCCACTGGGCGTGGGCAGCCCAAGCGGACGGGGGCCAGGGCCCGCAGCGGCTGAGAAGGACGCCCTGAGAGCGGAGCGCTCCAGAACGCCGAGCCGCGGGCGCACGGGGGGCGCACGGCGCCCCGCACCGTGCACGTGGGCACGGCGCGGCGCGAGAGGGTCCACTTCGGGGGGCCGGCGCCGAGCCGAGACGGGCAGCGGCCGCCAAGAGGAGCGGCGCCGCCGGTCGGCAGCCCCGAAAGGCGGGTGGCCGGGGGTGGACAGAACCCCCACCTTGACGCATCGAGTGGCGAATTGTCCGTTGTCGGTTCTCGAGAGGGCGCCGCGGTCGTCATCTTCCAGGCCTGCGCGAGGCGTGCGGGGGGCCTCTGTTTGCGGCAGTCCGGTGCACCAGCGGATCGAACTCATCTCCCCCTTCAGGGTCACCCCCCTTTCTTGGTGGATCCCAAGCAGGGCCCCACGCCCTGCGGCGCCGGCCCAACGAGGGGGGGGGGGGGCAGCGCCGACGAGCCTGAAGTCGGGCGTGTCCTTTTACAGGAGGGGTATTCGAAGATAGTCAAAAAATAGTCTGGGGACGGTGTTTTGGCGATTTGTTGCATATATATACTCCTTCTATTTCGTCCTAAGTCCGCCTGTAGGGGGGACATGCCCGACCTACGACGAGCCACGCCGCGCCGCCGGCCGAGGCTCGCGCCGACGAGCCCCCGGGGCGCGGACGTCGAGCTCCTGAGGGGCCACGCCGGGCGGCCCACGGGGCAGGGCTTCGCGTATTTCGAGGAGGGCCGGCGGGAGGCGGGGGGGGCTCGGGGGGGCTGAGGCGGGCGCCGTGAGTGTCGAGAGGGTTTCCACGTTGTCTACCTTTTGGGGAGGGGGGCCTGGTGGCCACCGCCGGAAGTGGCTCGAACATTTCGCACATTCTAGACGCTTCGCGGAACCCCACCAGCCTTTCCTTTTCCTTTGCGCTAATTTAGGCCGTTGCTACTTTGCAATTCCCTGGACGCCGCCCGACCTTTCTTCGCCGCGGTCGCGATCAAAAAAAAGCCCATCCAGAAACGATGCCCAGGCGAGGCGCCCAGGAGGCCTCTTTGAGCGTCTCGGGTGCCTCGGGAGTCCTCTTGAGGCGTCTTGGGGGTCTCTTGGGAGCCTCTTGATGGCCCTTCGGGCGCCTCTTCGGGCCTCCTGGGCGCCTCTTGGGGCCCTCTTGAGGCGCTCTTGGGTGCCTTGGGAGCGCTCTTCGGGCCATCTTGGAGGAGATCGATACAAACAGAGGGGAGCTTCAATTAGCCTCGCCATGCTAGAATGCCTAAAATCGCCTCTTGGGCCCCTCTCGGGGCGCCCTTGGAGCGTTTTCGAACGCTCTTGGGGCCGTCTTGGGGCTCTCTTGGGGCCCTTTTGGGCCATCTTGGAGCCATCTTGGGGCCTCGGATGGCCATCGGAAGCGAAAAGGCGAGAAAGCAAAAATCACTGATTGTCCTTAGGTTCTTGAAGGGTTTGGGCCTCTTGAGGAACTCTTGAAGGTCTCGGAGGCCTCTGGGAGCCGTCTTGGAGCGTTCTCCGGCCTTCTTGGATCATCTTGAAAGCCATCTCGAGGCATCTTGCGCTATACTGAGCCATCTTGGAGGTAATCTTGGGCTTTCCGAGGCCCTCCTGGAGCCGTCGTGAGCTATCTTGGACGCTCCAACTACCCGCGGCCCCCACCCCCCGTCCAGGTCCAGTGGAGAGGGTAGGGAGACGGGTAAACCCCTCCCCGAAGGGGAAGAGGTGCAGATGGAAGACAAGACACGCTAGACCACCTACGCCCTAAAGGACTGGTGGGACTGGACCCCTGGAGGGTCAAGGGGAAAGGGGAAGGGGGCCAAGCTGAAGGCCTACGAGTCAGGCATTCGCATACCTCGCGGAGGGCCAGGGGGGAATCAAAACAGATCCAGTCGTCCACGTTTTTCTGTTTGCTTATGCTTATTTGGTGTAAGTTTTTGTGAAACATAGATTTCTCAGTCACAAACAGATTGTTCATACATCCGTGCATGAGACGGTTGCGTGTCATCCATCCGTGCGGGGGATTATCTAATGGCATTTTGCTCGTCCCGTCACCGTGCCTGGGTTGTGAGCCATAGGTCTGTAGGATGTTCGTTTGGATGTCGCGGAAGGCCTCTCGGGGGCATCGTGGAGGCAGTTTTGAAACCTGTTGGGTGCCATTTGGGGCCTCTGGGGGCGTCTTAGGGCTCAGGGATCTCTTTGAGCCTCTGGGGGGGGGGGCCATCTTGAGGCCGAAGGCTCGAATTTCGGTTGGTGTTCCCACTCTTGAGCCCTTCTGGGGATTGACTTGGAGCCCTCTTGGGCCGTCTTGAGCGCCTCTGGGACCGCCTCGGGACATCTTTGGCCGTCTTGGGGCGCTCTTGGCAGCCTCCAGAGCCGTCTTGGAGCATCTGGATACGAAAAGGTGAGAATGTTGAACACATTGAAAAAACTACTCGAAAATTTATGGTGTTTGAACCCTCCTGGGACGCCTCTTGAGGCGCTGTTGGGGCGTCTGGAAGGGTTCCTTCGGCCGTCTCGGGGCCATCTTGGGCGTCTTGGAGCGCTCGCTCGGCGATTCGAAGCCCTCTTGGACCGCCTTGAGGGTCCACTCTTAGCTCGCCTCGGGGCCCCCTTGGCTCCGAAAAAGTCACGCGACAACACTCGCTGGGGCCCAAGGGGCACGCGCCACGCCAACGAATTTCCAGCAATTCGAGGTCCGGGCCCGTAGGGAATCTTCAGGACTGAGGACTGAGGCTCAGGACTCGTGCCCGAGGGCATGGTGGCGAATTTGGCGAGTTCATGATTTGATGTACCCGTGCATCGGATGGTTGTTTTTCATGCACTTGTGCGGGAGAGAGGAGGTACTCCTCCGTCCCAATCCCTCCTCCTCCTCCTCCTTCCACCCATCCTCCATCTGCGCGCTCTCCCGCGCGTGCGCAGGAGGAGGAAGAGGAGGAGTGCAGGGGAACGACCATCCACACACCAAAAGGTTTTCGGATGATTTCGATGTCATAACTGGACGCTTCGCGGAAAACGATCGACAATTGTATCCCGGGTGGGATCTGAATACCGATTTTGAACCGGTGTCCGTCCAGGCGCTCGGGGGGATTTGATGAGGGGGATTGGAGGAGGGGATTGGAGGAGGGGGATTGGAGGAGTGGGAGAGGGCAGGGACAAGGAGTGGGGACGATAGGGGGAGGAAATGGATAGGGAGGGGAGGAGGAGTGAGAGGAGCAGGAGGAGCGGGCGGAGGGCAGTGGAGGAAAGCGGGAGGAAGAGGAGCAGCATGAGCAGGAGAACTAAGGTGACGGGGAAGGAGGAGGAGGAGGAGGAGGAGGAGAGAGGAAAGAGGAGAGAGGAGAGAGGAGAGAGGAGAGAGGAGAGGAGCGCGCACCCATCCTCGATGGTCCGCGGCCATGGCGCCTGATCCATGTTAGATCAGGAGTCCACCTGGTCCAGGACGAGAGGGTGGAGTAGCAGGAGGAAGACGAGAGAGGGGAGGACAAGGGGGAGAGGGAGGAAGAGGACAGGGGAGACGCGAGGGGAGGAAACGGTCGTGCGGGCCTTGCAGGACTTCGGAGGGAGCGACAGGGGAAGGAGTCTTGGCATCGCTCGGACGTGTGCGCTTTTTCCTCGGCGAGGACCATCAGGAGCATCCCGGACCATCGAGCAACAAAAACACGCACAAAACCGACAAATGCACGGGGAATGAACGTCCGAACGACGGCAAGGAGTGGGAGGAGCACGCATCGCATGCGGTAGCCATCGTTGCATCGGGCAGCACATGATCGCCCCCTGCTTGCACATCATCGTGACGAACATCCTGGAGAAAGGAAGCGTACAATCATAGTGTGAAGTAGAATGTCGACAAGGTTGAAGGTAGGGTGTTAGAGACCTCTGGGAGCCTCTTGGTGTCATCTTGGAGGTCTATTTAGGCCCGTTTCGAATCGTTTGAGCCCTGCTTGGTCTCCGGCATTGAGGCTATTCATCCAAAAGGGGGTTCCTAAATTAGAGCACCCCGCCTGGAGTCTTTTCGGGGTGCTCTCAGGACGTTTTTGCAAATATGTGGGGCCGTCTTGGAGCGCTTCCGTGCCCTTCTTGGGAACCTATTGTGCGGTTTTGGAGCCAGTTTGAGACTTCAGAAGCCCGTCGAAGCGAAACGACGAGAAAGCACACAGCCACTGACAGACCATTGGCCCTGAAAGGTTTGGGCCTCCCGGGGGCAGATCACTTGAGGCGCCTTGGGGCCCTCTCGCCGTGCAGGAGACCTCCCACCGGAACCACCCTGAGGGGTGCACGCGGAGGCGGAGGCGGAGGAGGAGGAGGAGGAGGAGGAGGAGGAGGAGGAGGAGGAGGAGGAGGAGGAGGAGGAGGAGGGAGGAGGAGGAGGGAGGAGGAGGAGGAGGAGGAGGAGGAGGGAGGAGGAGGGGCACCTTCGCCCGCCGACCCCGCACCCCGCCCCGCCCTCCGATGGTCGGCTGTCGGACCCTCGGGGGGCGGAGGGCTCGCGTCGGATCCCGCGGTTCGATCCGACTCGATGCCGATGGCCTCCGAGTCCGATTCGACTCGACTCGACTCGACTCGATTCCGATCCGACTCGATGTCGATGTCGATGGTTCGATTCGACTCGACTCTGGATTCCGATTGGGGTTCCGATGCCTGCCGATTTCTGCGCCGATGCGACCGTTGCCGACTCGGCTGCCAGCTTCCGCCGATCCGATTCATGTCGATCGCCGGTCCGGCTTGTCGATTGGATTCTGGGCCCTCCTGGGTTTCTGGAGAGGGAACGGATGAGGATTGAATCCCGGGCCCCAAGGAAGAATGCGAGTATTGCAAGCTTCTTAGAATGCCTCCCCTCCCTTTCTCCCCCTTCGTCCCCGTCGGATTCTGAGCCGGATCCAGGGTCTCGATGCGGCCAGGGTGTCGAGGCGAATCTCGCCGAGGCGGCGAGGTCCCCCCTAGAGGAAGTGGACGACGACGACAATGATGAGGACAACGACGACGACGGCGCGAAGAGGGAGGGTGACGACTAAACCCTCCTTGCCCTGCTTCTCGTGCATCCCTCCTACCGGGCCAGACGAAAGGGTAGCATAGGGAAAGGCGGGGGTACGAAGTCTGCTGCATGCAGCTGGTTTCCGCCCCGCCGCTGGGCCCATTCCTCGATACATGGGCGCCTCCCGGCGCCAGGAGGCGCCAGGACAACCAGCTACGTGAGCCGATTCTCTCTAACTTGCCCTTTGCTATCCTACCCTTTCGTCGCCCCCGATCCTAGGATCCCCCATGCCCTATAATCGGCTGGAGCCCCTGGGACAAACCCGCCCTCCTCCCTCCTGCTAACTCTCTCCGACCACCCTTTTGTTGCATAGGTCACGCATCCACGTGGCACCCGCAGACGTATCAATAGGGCGGGCCAGGCGTTTCACTCGAGGTTTTGTCACAACGTATGATCAACAGCTACGCGGATGGACGGCAGTTGTTTTCCAAAGTATGGCGTTCACTGTAGAGCCGCGCGCATTCGTCTTGACAGTCCCCGGCAGGTACATTGTCAGAGGCCCACGGTTCTTCAAATTGCGACTATCGCCTCAGAGCCGCGCAGCGCCGCCTTAAGAGTTCCCAGCAGCTACACCGATGGAGGGTGATTCCGTTTCAACATGGTGATTTCGTTTGAGATGTTGTTTCGATTTGCCACCACAAGTTTTGAATTAGTTACACCAGTGGTGGGTGGATCTTTGGCAAAGCAGGGTTCTCGCCTGATTTTGTCTCATGTGTCCAATCCTGCCTCTCAGTGTTTCTCACAGCGAGAAGGGTGGAGGTCGATTACTCTTCAAAGCGAGGCTCTCACCTGCATGGAAGGCCCATGAGGCGCTCGTCTTTTGAGGGGGGCGCCTTCCGCAGTGAAACGGAATGCCAGCAGGGACTGTTGGATTCATGGGAAGGGGGCTTGGGCCAGGTGGGCGCAGTGCAGCATCGTTGATGTATACGGTCGGACCGAGGTATCAGATCGAGGTCGGTTCGGGGAGGGTACCTTGATATTCTCCGTGTCAGCTTGATGTTCTTGTGCATCCTGGGGGAGGGTACCCTCGAGTGATCTTCTTATGGTTGAGGGATGGTTTGGCCAGCGGAGGGCCTCATGTTCTTGAAGGATGATCTTCTGTCCAAGGTCTGGCCGTACTGAGTTCACTCTTGTCCTGCTCTGCCCCGAGGACCCCGTGGAGGCCATGCGGGCCGCGGACGCCCTCCACGAGAGGCCGTTCCGGGTGGACGGCACGCGGGTGTACCGCGTCGACGTGTTGGAGGATTTCAAGGGCAGGGCTATCGTGAAGGATCGTCAGCCATGCGCAGAGGCGGGTTAGGGGGGCGGGGGGGAGGCTTCTGAGAAGCACCCCTGATTCTTAGAAGGCGCGGTCCTTGCCTGCAGGTGTAAGGCCGGCGCCTTGTTAGAAGCCGCCTCCTTCTAAGAAGCCTTCCCTCTTCCCCCTACCCCCCTCTGCGCGCCGCCAAGAGTTGCGTCTGCCGCTCGTCATCACAGCTTCTGCCCCTCCTGCTCGTCGTCGCTTCCTCCATCTCGTGCCTCCTGCTGTTTCTCGTGCCTCCTCCCGCTATGCCCCGCCCTCCCTGCTCCGCTCTCCCCCTCCCTCCCTCCTTCTCCTGATCTTCATCTGGAAGGCGATGGCGAGAGAGAGAGAGAGAGGGAAAGAGGGAGAGGGAAAGAGGGAGAGAGATGCAGGAGAAAAAAGAGAGAAGAACACAACGAGAGAATGTGAGAAAGAGAGAATGAGACAAATAGACAGAGACAAATACAGACAGCGCGAAAGAGAGAAGCAGAGATCGGACAATCTGGGCGGAGTTCCGTCCACGGCCGCCAGGCAAGCGCGCCGCACCCGAAACATTTTGGCTGGTGCTGTCGGCCAAAGAGGCCCTTCACAGCCGGCTTGGGCGGACGGCCAGGGCAGAGAAGCAGGGGAAGAGAGAGGTGGGGGCGAGATAGGGGAGGATGGAGGAGGTGGGAGGGGGAGGGGGGAGGGGGAGGGGGGGGGGGGGGGGGGGAGGGGGGGGGATGAGGGAAGGAAGCAGGAGGAAGGATGGGACGGGGCAGTCTCCTGACCACTGCGCTGCCTCGCCCCGTGGAGACCGCGGGGGGGGGGGCAGGCTCGCACTCTTATTGCTGGTGCTGCTCGTTCTGCCACTGGGGACTGACTAGTACACCTTAGGCGATGCTTAAGAAAACTTAAGTTTTCGGCCAGAGACTCGATTATTCTTAACGTTTCAATGTAAATCTTGAGATGTTCATGGAAACGTTGGGTGTTTATTCAAATTCTGAGACTATGAATTTCTTAACCCATGATTTCTTAAGCATTTCGCAGGGTGTAGATCGGCCCTCCAAACGCGAGGGTACCTTGGGGCCCTTGCGTCCTGTATACCGCGCCAAGTGTCCTTTTCGTGCCTGGAGCAGTCATTGCCCTCGGAAGAGGCCCGCGTCTTCTCGGAGGTCCCTGGCAATCAGTCCTGGCCTCATTCTTTCATCCTTGTCCCCCCGCCCTTCCTTGCTCCCTCCCGCACCAGTCGACGCACGGTGCCGAATTCGCACGCACCAAGTTCGCAGCGGAGCCGATCCCACACGGCGCAGAAGTCGCACGGGACCGAACTCGCACGCACGTCATTAGCACGCAGCTGAAGTTCGCACGAACGCGGTGGGTGGGCACGCGAAAGATAGCCCGCTCCTCGTTTCGGCCGTGAGAGTTCGGAGCGTGCAAGTTCGACCGCGGGCGAGTGCGGCTGGTGCGAGTTCGGAGCGTGCAAGCTCGGCCAGGGCAGCCGAACACGCACACAAAGCTACCCGAAAACGACCTCGCACACAAAGGCAGTGTAGCGCCATGCCGAGTCCACCAACCTGCCAGTAGTTCCTACCCGAAACGCAATCGTGACCACGACCTAACGTGACGCCAATACGAGCCCGTCACCCATACCTGATTCCAGCCTCGACCCTAAACGTGGCCCTCAGCATAACCTGATCATAAGTCGAACCATCGCCTGAGCCCATGTCTGACCCTGATACTTGGTCATGACCCTAACCAAATCCTAAACCTAAGCATGATCAGAACCTTAGTATGTTCCGAGCCAAGAGCATGAACCCAGCCGTAATCCAAACCAACAACATGGGCCCAGGCCTAACCGTGACCCCAACCCTAGCCTTGACCCGTACCCGACCCTAGACAGCAAAACCTGAACAGCAAGACTAAACCTCACCATGACGCAAACTCCTAACCTAAATACCTGAGCTTCACCCTGACCCTAACCACAATCAAATCCGAATCAAACACTAGCCTCACCCTAACCTTAGCCCAAACCCCTGACCCAACATCCCAAACAAGGACCCTCATCCTAAAGGTGGATGAATCGTCACCGAGCTTCAACCCCAACATTAACATCACCCATTCCTATCATGTGCCGTAAACGCGTTCCGATTATAATCGCAACCAAACCCTAATTTCGACCTCGAGTTCTCAGATTGACCGAACCCTTTTCATACATATAAACCCACCGTAACCGTGAACCGTGATCCCAATCGGAATTGCCACCCCCACGAACCTCAACCTCATATGTATATCCAAAGGCAGCTCAACCCATGTCTTGACGCTTCGTGTATTCCCACAGGCCCGTCCAGAAGCGATCGCCAGGCGACTTGCTCTGATCAGGGAACTGTAGAAGCATGCAGTGGACCAGCCGCTATGAGAAGGAAAAAAATGTGTGTTTAGAGAGAGACCAGGAGGACGAAGACCAGGACAAGAACAAAATTCAGGACGTGGACGATGAGGAGGAGGAGGACGACGACGAGTAGGAGGGGGAGGAGGGCGCGAAGGAGGACGACGAGGAAGAGGAAGAGGACGTCGACGACCAAGACGAGGGACGAGGACGATGGCGAGGAAAACGAAGACGAGCATGAGCGGGACAACGAGGACGAGAACGCCTACAGTCGTCGTGGAGTTAATCTTGGCGTCCTCTGGAGGTTGTCTGGGGCCCTGTGGAAGGTTCTGGGGTCCTCATGTGGCTCTTTTGAAATGTATTGGGGCCCTTTGAGAGCCGTCTGGGGGCGTCCTCTGTGGGAGCTGTTGGTAGCCCTGGAGGGCCTCTCGGGGTCATCTTGCGGGGCGTCGATCCAACGAGGGAGTGTCCCCGATGCCGGTCCCCGCTGTGGCGCCATCAAAATCGCCGTGACCCTTATTGAGGCTATATTGAGCCATTTTTGGGCCATATGTGCTTGCGATGTCTTACGGGTGTTGGCCTCGTGGGGGGTCCTTGGGGTGCTCTGAGAGCACGTGTACCCGTCTTGTAGTCCTCTTGAAGGCATGTTGGAAGCCATCTTGGACCATGTTCGACTCTCTCCAACGTGCAGTTTGTTTGTTTTGACACGCCAACTTCAGGCCGCCTATCATTGGCAGCAGCTGAACTGTTGCGCGCCGATCTCGCAAGGACTAGATTCGCACGCAGCCGAACTCGCATGGACTAGACCTGCACGCAGCCGAACTCGCACACACGAAGCTCGCACGCACGAAACTTGCACGCATTATATTCGCACTCACCAAGCTCGCACGCCGATTGCACCCGAACAGCGAGAACGACAGCTTAGAGTGCGAGTTCGGCGCGTGGCAGCTCAGAGCGTGCGAGTTCGGCATGTGCGAAGTCAGTGTATGCGCTTTCGGCCGCGTGCGCATTCGCGATCTCAGCGCGTTCGAGTTCGTAGCGTTTGGCTTCTCACCCCGCCTCCATCCTTCCTGCTCTCCTCCCTCTCCACTCCCTGCTGCTGTTTCTCCTCGAACGACTCCTTCACCACCCACCCCACCCCATCGCCGGGCACTCACCCCCTTTTCGAACCCCGTCGGGCTCTGAGGAGAGCTTGAGCCAAAATAGCTACGGAAGAGGAGGAGGAGGAGGAGGAGGAGGAGGAGGAGGAGGAGGAGGAAGAGGAGGAGGAGGAGGAAGAGGAGGAGGAGGAGGAGGAGAGGAGGAGGAGGAGTAAGCTCAGGGAGGAGGAAGATCGGGAGGAGGGGAAGCTCAGGACAAGCTCCGGAAGGGAATGATCGGCGCCAGGCCAGGGCCGAGCGCACAGGTCAGCCTCCTCCTCCTCCTCCTCCTCCTCCTCCTCCTCCTCCTCCTCCTCCTCCTCCTCCTCCTCCTCCTGGGAACTTCTTGGTCTCGTGAGGGGTGCTCCAGAGGACCATCTGGGCCTGTCCTGGAACGGCTTGGGCCACCTGGGGCCAGGGCCCACCTTGGGGCCTCTCGGTGGCTTCGAAGCCTCTTTAAGGGCATCTTCGAGGCCTCCTGGGGATCTCGTGAGGACCTCTTGGAGGCCTCCTGCGAGCCTTTGGCCCCTGGAGGACGAAGGAGGAGGACGGAGGAGGAGGAGGAGGAGGGCGCACGGTCGGACCGAGGTACGTATAAGATCGAGGTCGGCTTGGGGAGGATACCCTCATGTTCTTCGTGTTTGCTGGATGTTCTTGTGCCTCTTGGGGTACACCTCAGGCGATGCTTAAGAAAACTTAAGTTTTCGGCCAGAGTCTCGATTATTCTTAACGTTTCAATGTAAATCTTAAGATCTTGATAGAAATCTTGGGTTTTTTGTTCAAGTTCTGAGACTATGAATTTCTTAACCCATGATTTCTTAAGCATTTCGCAGGGTGTAATTGACAGAGATCGTGCTCCACGAGCTCCAGGCCCTGGGCGAACCTGGCTGTGAGGATGGATTCGCGATGACGGCTCGGTGCCTACCACCCCAGCAGGTGCTTTGCTGCCCCCTTCTTCGCTTGTGCGTGCACCGGTCAGTTGCTTCCTTCTGGGCGCGCCATCCGCCCCAGGTGGTGCGCCCTCTTTCCCCTCCTCCCGTGGCGCGCGCCATCCACCCCAAGTAGTGCGCCTCCCCTCCCCCGGAGCGCCTACCCCCCCAGGCGGCGCCCAGGCTTATACACCAGTGCGTGCACCGATCAGGTGCGTTTCAGCTAGTACCAGGATGATGGAGTCACCTAGCGCGGCCGCCGCTTCTTCGGGATGTTGGGCCTGCCGACGGCTAGGATGACCCTGGTGTGGCGTCTGCGTCACCCGCGTGGGTTTCCCGGGTTTGCTTCCCGTCAGCCATGCTCCTGGGCTATCCGGCCCGTGGTGCGTGCCAGGAGGCGCCCCTCTGCCACCCCGCCTGGTGCACTGGTGCATCCGCGTCGGCTGCCGCTAGGCAGGGTGCCGCTTGGTAGGGCCTGCTGCTGTGCCTCTGGCTGGCGCTGGCCCTTCCCTGCCGCCCCGCTGCCCTTGCAGCGGGGCGCCTTTGCCCCGCCCGCCCTGGGGCAGGGTGCCCCCCGCCTTCAGCTGTGATGCGTGCACCGGCTGTGTGCGGGCTTCGCCCCTCCCTCCCTGCAACGCTGCTGCCGGCCCGCGCGCCGAACTTGCCGTCCGCTGGGCGGCACGTTGGAGCCTCTGCTTGCAGCCCTGGTACCCGCCTGCAGTGCCAGTACAGGTACCTGCCATCCGCCGCGGCTTTGCTGACCGGGTGCGCTCCGCGCCCCCGCCCGCTGCGTTTCGCTGCCTGGCGCGCCGCTGGCTGGATCAGGTCCTGTAGTGCGATCAGCTCCAGCAATGGCAGTCAGCCCCGCCCGCCGCCCTCCAGCCCTGGCCTGCGCCCGCTCTGCTGCATTTTGCCGCATCCGTGGTCACCAACCGGCTTTTGGCACTGGCAGCCCGCCTCCGCTTGGTGCAGCCACCTGCACTGCTGGCATCGCGCTGGACTGCTCTCCCGTCGTGGACCTGCGCACCATCTCCGTGTACTGGCACATCCTGCACTTCGCGTACTTCTGCCTGCGTTTCTGCCCTTGGGCGTGGCCGCGATGCCGTCCCGCGCCCACTGCCAGGGTGATGAAGCCCTGGCTGGCCGCCTCGGCCGCTCCAATGCGACGCACCTCGCCCTATGAGTGCCCTGCGCTCCCCTTTTTTTCCTTTCCGCGGCCGCCCGCCTGTTCTCTCGCTCCCCCCCCTCTTGCCGCAGGAGCGCCTGCCTCCTCCCAGCCCGCTCGAGCGCGCCGCGCGGACTGCCTCTGTCGCGCCGCGACGCTAAAATTAGCCTGGCGAAGGACCCAACCATCTGCAGTTCTAAGCACCGTCAGTGTATGCACCGCATTCAGAGGAGCTCACTATAAGGCCACGAAACTTGTGAGGGGTGTACCACAAATTGTCCGGTGGGCGCATGCGCAGGCAACCATTGGGGCCGCCGGTGGAATTCCTCATCGGGGCCACGAAACGCGTGAGGAGTGTGCCGAAATGGGTGTGCGTGACGCATGCGGGCGGTGGCACTGGGGCCTTCGGTGGAGCTCTCTATGGGGCCACGAAACGTGTGAGGGGTGTGCCGGAATGTGTGTGCGTGACGCATGCGGGCGGCGGCACTGGGGCCTTCAGTGGAGCTCCCTGTGGGCCCACGAAACGTGTGAGGGGTGTGCCCGAATGGGTGTGCGTGACGCATGCGGGCGGTGGCAGTGGGGCCTTCGGTGGAGCGAGCTCCCTATGGGCCACGAAACGTGTGAGGGGTGTGCCGAAAACGGGCGTGCGTGACGCATGCGGGCGGTGGCGCTGGGGCCTTCGGTGGACCTCCATGTGGGGCCACGAAACGTGTGAGGGGTGTGCCGCGAATGGGTGCGCGTGACGTATGCGGGCGGTGGCAATGGGGCCTTCGGCGGAGTTCCCTGTGGGGCCACGAAACGTGTGAGGGGTGTGCCGCGAATGGGTGTGCGTGACGCATGCGGGCGGTGCAGAGAGGAGGGGAAGAAGAAGGAATGAGGGAAGGACGGAACGCGGGGACCGTCTCTTCATAACAAGGACCGAACACCACAGGATGGTTGGGAAAAAGTGCATCCTGGGGGGGGCCCTCCTCTTCCTCCCCCTCCTCCTCTCCCTCCTCCTTTTCCTCGTCCTCCTCCTCCTCCATCCCTTTTCTTCCATCCTTTTCCTCATCCAGTTTGGCTGGCGGATGCGCTTCCGTCCCCCAACTCCGGGCGCACGCGTCCACCAGTCCCAGACCTTGGGACAGGCATTGCCGGGACGTGCGGCACGGGCGGGTGGCTCTCGTTCCCCAGCCAGGCGTCCGCCGTTAGATTGAGCGCCCCCGTTTGCGGGTGGTCTCGCCGCCTCCCCCGCACACCCGCGAGAGGAGGGGGATAGAGGGGGACGGGGGAGGGCGGAGGGAAGATGGGCAGGAGGAGGAGCAGGAGGATGGATGGAGGGCGAGGGCACGGAGGAGGGCGGCCGGCGAGGGAAGAGGGGTGCCCCGCTAGGGACATCGAGGAGCACGAGCGGAAGAAGTTGGGCCCCTACCCGCAGTATTGAGCGGCGCCTACCTCCCCCCTCCCCCCCTCCCCTCTCATCATCTCTCATCCCCCTCTCCTCTCCCCTCCTCGTCCTCCCTCCTTCTCTCCCCCCCTCTCCTGGGCCCCAGTCCGCAGTGGGGAGCGGCGCCCGACGCGCGCGGCGGAGGGCGCGTGCGCGCGCGTCCGCCGACGTCGTGCGACGGAGGTGCCCCCGCGCGGTGCGTCAGGCGGGGCGCCGACGACGGAGGAGAAAGGGCGACGACGACGACGACGACGATCATGACCACGACCGCGACCACGACCACGATGACGACGACGACGCACACGATGATGACGTCGTACACGACGACGACGACAACGCACACGACGCAAACGATGCAAACGACGACGACGACGATTACGACGAAGACTGCGACGACAACCACGACGACGACGACAACGACGACGTTGGCGACGACGACGACGACGACGACGACGACGACAACCATGACCACGACCACGGCCACGACAACGACCACGATGACGACGACGACGTACACGATGATGACGGCGTACACGACGACGACGGCGACGACGTCGACAAAGACGACGACGAGGACGACGACGACGGCGACGACGACGACGACGACGTTGGCGACGACGACGACCATGACCACGACCACGACGACGACAACGACCACGATGACGACGACGACGCTAACGACGACGACGATTACGACGAAGACGGCGACGACGACCACGACGACGACGACAACGACGACGTTGGCGACGACGACGACGACGACGACAACAATGACCACGACCACGACCACGGCCACGACCACGACCACGATGACGACGGCGACGACGACGACGACGACGCACACGATGATGACGGCGTACACGACGACGACGGCGACGACGACGACGACAAAGACGACGACGAGGACGACGACGACGGCGACGACGACGACGACGATGCCGCCGCCGCTGCCGCCGACGACGACGACGACGTTGGCGACGACGACGACCATGACCACGACGACGACCACGACCACGATGACGACGACGACGACGACGACGACGACGGCGACGCTGACGACGACGACGACGACGACGACGACACACACGATCGTGACGGCGTACACGTCGACGACGGTGACGACGACGGCGACGACGACGACGAAGGTGCACACGACGAGACGACGACGCACACGACGCACACGACGCAAACGACCACGACAACGCTGACGACGATGACGACGACGACGACGACGCTAACGACGACGACGACGACGATGCCGCCGCCGACGACAACGACGACGTCGACGACGACGAAGACCATGACCACGACCACGACCACGACCGCGACCACGACGACGGTGACGACGACGACGACGACGACGACGACGACGACGACGACGACGACGACGACACGTACACGACGTACACGACGTACACGACGACGACGACGACGACGACGACGACGACGTACACGACGACGGCGGCGCCGACTACGGCCACGACGTCGGCAGCGGCGGCGGCGGCAATGACGGGGTGGGAACGCAGGCTGCCGCACGAAACTGGTGTCAGCTCCGCCGCCACGCGGCTTCCTCGATGCATGGTCGCTTCTGGCGTTGGGGAAGGCATTTCCATGCAGCTGGTGCGATACCCCTCCCCGACAGGAAGAGGAAACGCAGGAGGAGGGGAGAGGAGGAGGGGGGGGGGACGAGGGGGAGGAGGTGGAAGTAGACGCTTCT